AAATTATATATGGGTGCAAAATAGCAAGCAACATTTCTATACATGTAGTATACAAGCTGATATACCTAATAACCCTAGTTTCAAATAAACAAGACATGCACAAATACAACACAGCAGTGACACTCGGCAGAAGACAAAACACTGAACTGAAATGCAAAGGTACTTAAATAGAGAGGAGGAAGTGCATGCCAACAAACCAGAGTGCATGAAGAGATTAATTCGTACCTGAGATGACCATTCCAGTGGCAATACCTATAGCACCCTGTATACCTGCTCCTACACCGCTACCCAAAGATGCTATCTCGGCTTCATCCACTATATCAAAAGAGCTATTGTTACGATTGTCTTCCATTTTGGGAGAGTGTCCTGCTGAAGGTGACACAAAAAACAAAGACCGTTTGCTTTTGATCCAACATTTCACTCAAAATGTAGAATTCAAGCCATTGTCTTATGTGTACTTATTTTAGAGACATTATGGATTTCAATACACTCTGTACGTGTCATCGTTAACATGAAGCAAAATCAGTATTCCACCTTAAACAACCTTAAACAGATACGATCTGCAGACTAAAATGCTCCACTCCACTCGACTCTTTAGCTATAAGGCTCAGAAAAAAAAAATTCCTATTTCTGGTCATTGAGAGAGTTAAAAAAGTGCCTGTCATTAAGCTTGTTTTTAGTTTTTTGCTGAATTTCAGAAAATATGAAAGAAAATAAGAAATTTTCATCAAAAATCACAAATTAAATGACAATTTTCAGAATCAATTTTAAGAAGCCGCCAGCGTGCATCAATTTTAGAAAGAAAAAATATTGACCATTAATATTTATATTTTTTTTTTCATCGCCTAAAGTGCTGCTTCACTCTTTAGTTTTAAAACATCTTACCTTCATCACAGTTTCTGCCTTCTTTAGCATTCCAACCTATGAACCAAAAAAAAAAGAAACATTAATATAATAAATACTGTACTGTACTGTACTGTACTGTACTGTACTGTACTGTACTTGCACTAAAAGTCAGTTACTACACCTACTCTATCATTAAGTGCTTACTTTTATCGACTCAAGTATATTCAATCAATTTCTTAATTACTACATAAAGCGTAATCCATCAAGACAATAATAATAATAAAGACTGAAATATATCAACATCCATGATTGAATCTATGTACCGGTAAATGCAATAACAAAAGTGGGTGTGGCTACTATCTCCAAACCTGTCACAGAGGAATATTTAAAGAGCAAACAAGAGAAATTTGGTTTAAATTCTAAACTAGAATCACAGTAGATGTTATTAGTAAGTGCTCTAAGAATGACTGCAATATTTCATGCGTTTCAAAACACATCTAAGTTAAATAAACACAAATATTAGATTGTCTATGTTATGATATGAATGAAAATACCATTTCGCTATTTATTAGTGGGCAAGCGATATTAAGTATTAACGTGAAAGAATGGGGCCAGCAATACAGCATATGGGTATCAACTACAACTAACTGGCACACAAAGTCAAAGAAATGTCCTTACTCTCTGCAGTACGGTGATGAATGCGTGAACAGGAAAAAAAAACGTGCATTGACGCCCCAGATAAGAAAAGACATGGAAAGATAGTAACAATTAAGTCAGAGATAAACGCAACATGAATCAGAGTCATCACAGTGCCAATACATGAAACTAAAACAAGCATTGTTTTAACTACCGCTAACTTTGACAACAGTAATTTCAATGCAAGCACATTCTTAGCATATGTGACATGGACATCGATATGTTTAATAATGCCATACATACAACTTGACGTTACATAAAAGACCTATACATATCCACACTGCCTAACTTAAAATGATTGTAATCTACAACAGACATGAAGATAACACTGGCACATTTAAGCAATTTATTTTGCTGGAGAGTTGTATATGCAGTAGACTTCGTATTTCCAACTGTTGATGAAGACAACGAGAAACAATTGGCAAAATGGAAACTGATAGGAATTATGCCAACTGTGTATTAGCAGTGCTATAGAGCATTTTAACACCCTGTAGAAAAAATACATCACTATTCGAATAGCAGACAACAGTCAGAAGCCATGCAACACATCACATAAGAACGCAATTGTTTGACTTAGAACTTGCATGAATTATAGTAAAACACAGCCAGCATTCAAACCATGATTAGTGTTTTTGAAGCTGAAGCAATTTTTGCAAAATCATCAATAGTACTGTATTATGATGTTATCATGGTTTCAACTCTCTGGCAGTGCTATATGATGCATGTATTGTCCATTTCGTCAGTAACACACGCATCTCTATAACTTCATTTGGAGGGATACATGTGCCAAGAAACCGAAAAGTGCATTTTCGCACTAATCAAATACTTTTTTTATCAGCATATACAAATAAAAAGTGCACATATTATCATGGAGCTGCGAAAATGAAGCGCTGAGAACAACAACAACATTACAGAAGAGATGGATGGAGACATGCCATACGACAGTCACAGTGGATTTAGCTAGACAGTCCTCTATATATACACTGTGGGGAAGAAAAAAACAAAGGTTGACCACCATACATGTAATATCATGCAAGGACAAGTCTATCCTACAACATCCAGAGTTTTTAAGTGGAGAGACAGTCCTCACCTAGTGCGGCAATGAGATTGTCTTCATTCAAGCTATGTGTGTCATACTTTGTGCTGCCGTATGGATGAAAGTTGTGAAAACTACCACCAAAATCCCCCATCATATACAAACCCTCACGACTGCCAAACATACTTTCGTCATCAGGTGTTGATGCTCCTTTCCGTTGAGCCATCTGGCTCTTATCAAGGTCTTTGCCATAGTAGTGCGTATGTGCAATTTCCAATAGTGTGAAGGCACTTGCCATGCCACCAGCACCACTAGTTTCATATGTTTGCTCTAAACCAGTAATCACAGCTTTCAATACTACTAAAATGCCTTTGTACACCTGTTTGCTAATTCTCTATTTAACAAAAAAAAAGAAGACAGAATTAAACCAACTTAATTTGCAGTGCTATATAATAACACAATTCATAATAACGAGAGACATTTCTCTCTAGGGTAAAATACTAAAATAATTTAAATTTGCTATAATCATTGAAGGGATAATTTATTGAAAATGAAATCCAGCGAGTATACATTTTTTCTCATTCAACTCACCAAAATTAAGCAAAAATAAACTTCATACAAAACACCAAAAAAAATCTTTTCAGCGAAAATAAAATAAAGTATTTTACAGTATATGAAAGAAATATCAAATATTCACATTACAGTCAACTTCACAAAATAAACTGGCATAAGTTTGTCCATTTTTTTTTTTTATAAATTTTATTGGGACCTTAGGCTTTAAAATTATAAATTTAGTGGTGAAAATTATGGCGCTCAAAAGCTTGGGGAAAAACACACTGCATTTTAACTCACAATATCTTCTATGTAATCCTCCGTAACTGTGCTATCTTGGGGATACAGCTGGGTCACAACTTGAGCTCGCAAGTTTTCATTAAGCATTAGCTTTCTAAGTCTTGGTAAACTCAGCCATCCAACACCATTACCCTCCATCACATTACGAATTAATTCCTTCAAGAACTGCTGATTCTCCCTGTGTGGAATCAAAGAAAAGAAATAAGGAGCAGTTCATAACCATTAATGAAATAATACATTTTGTGAAATAGCAATAGCCGGTAGACAAATTTAATGAAACAATTAGTCAAATATTCTTAATTCAATTATTTGAAAATTTAAACGCACAACATGTTACTACATACATTACAGGCAGTATATTAAGTTCAACATACCCTTGCTTGCCTTGGTATTTCAAGAAAGAACAATGCACAAATGTGACGTAGTAAATAAAATAATGTCACTTACACAGATGCGAGAATCTCTGGTGGTGAAGTTGGACTGGGTTTCTCTTTTTCTGGCGTTTTCTTCCCTGTAGAGCTATGTTTGATTAAAGAAGATCTCTCTACGAGTGCCTTTCTATTACCTGCAATACAAACATCAGTGTCGCACTAAGAATCGTCCAAGAAAAATGGCATCAATAATGTTTTACAGAAAGTATCAACAAATAGCTCTGTTGTTTTAGCAGAGCAGTCATAAGCCAGTCAATAAACATCATAATTGATAAACAGAAAACCTTGGATTTAGTTACATTTTATTTAAGTGTCTAAACTCGTGTGTTCCATTTTCTCACCGATAAGGACAAGTTTAATAGTCATCGAGCTAAAAACGGAAGAACAATATAAACTAACCTGTCGGGAATGGACTGAGATGCTTCTTTTTTCTAGAATTTCCAATCGGTAGACTCATACTGGAGACGCCGCTACTACTTCTATAGTGACCAGGATCAGATTTAACACTCGGTGGGTAACTGTTGTAGTCACTACTAGCAAGAGAAGTTGGTGAGCCATTTGGGTCTTTTTCAACACTTGCACTTTCAACAACTCCCTTTAAATATGGTTTCTTTTTACTCATCACTGGTGACGTTTCTGTTGAGTTTGATCGTAGTATTGCACTTATCTTATTCATTATTGGACTGGACTTGTTTGATTCAACAGCGTTTTGCTTGCGTGGAGAAGAATCAGTTGATCTTCCTTCAGGAAGTGATCCAGACCGACCTCCGCGCTGTATAAGGGGACTTTCTTTCCCCTGTGTTGAAAGACCTGGATCCGATCGTATAGAATTATTGTCATGATCAATTGAATGTCTGCCCTGTGTGGGAGTTCCTAAGTACTCAACAGTGTTTGCTGTGGTTCCACTGTAGTTACTGTCAGAGTCATATTTAAGACTTTCAACATCAGCATCTGTGTCGGCACCTGATAGAAAAACTTCAGGTGGATGCTGTAAACAAACAACACATTAGTCAAAAGCTCTTATTTTTGAAATCATGAAAACATTTTTAAAAACACAATTATAAATTTAAATCAAATGAAATAAAACAAATCCCAACACCTCCATGCATTGAAAATATCACCTTTTTAATATTAATTATATCACCTCTATTTTATTATAAATTAAAATGGCTAAAGCTAAGAGTTCTCATAGATTATGGATATCTATTAAAATTTGATATGCATCATTAAAAAACTTTTTTAATATGAAATTTCACAATAGTGGAGTATTTTCTGCAATTAGTTCTAAAATGAAACATTTGAAAACCTAAAAAATAATTTGCTTAATTGCCAGATCTGTGCATGGCAACAAATAAGCAGAAGATGTTATAAAATGATGCATGCTAGTTTTGCAGATTTCCTCAAGTTGCAAATGTTAAAATTAAAATATTGGGGAATTTACATGTACAGTTGATGTATGGGCACATGTTTTCATTTCATATAAACAAACATGTACTAGTATACTGTACACATTGTATAACGTTGCATGGGACCCATGGCGCAATGACTGTGGCCTTGTGAACATGCACTTATTAAAGGAAGCATTTACTCCAAAGGGAAAGCAATCCATACTAGAAGCACAAACCAACCAACCAACCACCATGAGACTGCTTAGCTGATTGCAATGTCTGTACATGTACAGCTGTACCTATCTAATGAGGGTAATAAAGTATGGGTATAAATAAGGGTCCTAAGACTAAATGTTTATTATATATAAAACTGAGATGCCTTTAGAAAGCATAAGCATGCCAGTACAGAAGACATACAAGTTTCATACCAGAAGTTTATTTAAATATTCACTAATGTAATCATCAGACTGGAGAGAATAGTCATGGAAAAAGAAAAAAATCAAATAGAACACAGAGTGAAGTTATTATAACACCATCAATGATTAAAACCTGACATTTGTTGGCCAGAAGTACATATCGTAAACATATACTCTGATATTATTTTGAAACTGGACTAGTTGCTTATTGGCCACTTTATTTTCAAAATAAGTAAAATACTATTTTTAACGCACTCTTTTAGCGAACAGAAGACACACAAATAAGTGACTTATGCAACATAATTTACAAATATGACATTAAAAACTTGATGTCCCAATGAAAGAGAAAAATTTATTTGTAGTTGTACCATATCAGTCCATAGATATTTATGCATATAATTAACATGATGTCCCTTACCTCTGGTGACATAGGTGTATCTAACTTCATTGACGCATTATGATACATAAACGTGGAGTCTTCCCCATCGGCAAAACTTGATGTCGATGACTCGCTGTCTGGTATGGAGAATGTGGAATCACTGTTACTCATAGCAGCAAGTGGAATTTGAAGTTCAAGTGGCGGTGCATATATGGAATGATGTTCCATATCAACCGCATTTGATGATGGCTCACAATCATACTCGTCTGTGGAACAGAAAAAAGAATATATGTGATTTACTCAGTCCCATAGAGGTGAGAGGTCAAAGTTGATTTACTCAGTTGCAGAGAGGTGAGGGGTCAAAGTTGATTTACTCAGTCCCAAAGAGATGAGGGTTTAAAGGTGATTTACTCAGTCCCATAGAGATGAGGGTTCAAAGGTGATTTACTCAAGAGCTGAGGGTTCAAAGGTGATTTACCATACTCAGTCCCATAGAGATGAGGGTTCAAAAGTGGTTTACTAAATAGAGGTGAGGGTTCAAAGATGATTTACTCAGTTGCAGAGGTGAGGGGTCAAAGTTGATTTACCCAGTCCCAAAGAGATGAGGGTTCAAAGGTGATTTACTCAGTCCCATAGAGATGAGGGTTCAAAGGTGATTTACTCAAGAGCTGAGGGTTCAAAGGTGATTTACCATACTCAGTCCCATAGAGATGAGGGTTCAAAAGTGGTTTACTAAATAGAGGTGAGGGTTCAAAGATGATTTACTCAGTCCCAGAGAGGTGGGGGTTCAAAGGTGATTTACTCAAGAGCTGAGGGTTCAAAGGTGATTTACCATACTCAGTCCCATAGAGATGAGGGTTCAAAAGTGGTTTACTAAATAGAGGTGAGGGTTCAAAGATGATTTACTCAGTCCCAGAGAGGTGGGGGTTCAAAGGTGATTTACTCAAGAGCTGAGGGTTCAAAGGTGATTTACCATACTCAGTCCCATAGAGATGAGGGTTCAAAGGTGGTTTACTCAATAGAGGTGAGGGTTCAAAGGTGATTTACCATACTCAGTCCCATAGAGATGAGGGTTCAAAGGTGGTTTACTCAATAGAGGTGAGGGTTCAAAGGTGATTTACCATACTCAGTCCCATAGAGATGAGGGTTCAAAAGTGGTTTACTAAATAGAGGTGAGGGTTCAAAGATGATTTACTCAGTCCCAGAG